ATATATATATATATATATATATATATATATATATATATATAAGACGTGTGCTATATATATATATATAGTTTTAGTTTTTAGCTAGGGTTTTGTTCTTTTTAGCTTTTAGCTAGTGCTCTGCTTCTTTTAGCTTTAACTGTCCGGTTTTAGCTTTGACAGCAGATTTCAGTATTCATACTGCGTTTTCACAGAAAATTTAATATTCCAAGTTAATAATTCTGTTTTTACATCACCCCCCTCCCCCCACCTGCCTGAGTGCTTTTATTTTCTTATTACATTCCTTTTGTTTTTGTTTAAGAGACTTTAACATGGCAATTATGTTTACCTTTTGTACAAGACATTTATTGTCTTATTTCACATTAAGGAGAAGTGAGGTTTAAATAGGAATTAATTATTAATTATAATAGTAAGGGTGGCATATTTTATCAACATTCAGAAAGGTTAGCAATAAATAGTACTTGTAAATTAATTTGTTCAACTGAGGATTGTATAAATTTGGTGCAACTTTACATAGTAGCCATTTCTGTAAATTAAAATGATTGCATTTGAGTGACCAAAAAAGTAACTATATATCCTCCAGCTATGTGTCACACTGAAACATCAATAATGAAACGCTGTTTCTGTGCCACCATGGGGAGAGTAATGGTGTCGGTCTGGACACCATCAAATTTTGCCTCCACCTCTGGCTTTACAGTAATTCTTCTTGATGATAAGATGAACACTGAACACCGTTTTCATGTGTAATCATAGGGTTGTTCTACTCCTGTTTCATACTTGGGTTGGGCTGCAGCAGGACCTCAGTCTGCCTGTAGATTTTTTCTGTCCAGTTTTTGGTGCAGTCTGCACGGCTCATCAGATTCTCAAAGTGAGCATCCAGCTCAGTCTTCTCGGCTTGGCCCAACTTCTCCCCCGTGTACTGAGGTGGGACACACAGACATTATAGATAATTAAAAAATACCTTCAGGACATTGTGGGACATCAACAAGGAAGCTATTTCACGGAAACAGAACTTAATAATCCACGATAGGAAAATAAAACTGGACTTAAATAAACTTTTATTAGAAAATGGTGACTTTGTTGGAAAAATCAGGCTGTTGAGAAGTTAATCAATTATCCTTCCAACTGCAGTAAAACAGGCAAAATCTATTAGCACATCGAACTTCAATATGACCAGCAGCCATTATAATGATTTTATCTGTGTGCGTGTTAGCCTGTCTGTCTGTTAGCAAAAGAGCCCATGTCTTCTATAGATTTATTATCCGATTATACGATTGTTTTATTTTGTACCATACCGTACCATTTTATTTATTGAGCACTTAAAACAGCGACAAGGCCAACCAAAGTGCTGTACAGACACAACAACAGGTAACACACAAAGCAAAATACAAAATGAGGTAAATCAGAATATAGACATAAAAACGATGCAGATAATGACGACAAACCAGTGTGGAGCATACAGGATCAAAACACAGATCATCTGGTGTTGAAAGCTACTGAATAGTAGTGAGTTTTTAAACAGGACTTGAAAACGGAGAGGGAGGGGGCCTGTCTGACAAGCAGAGGTAACTCGTTCCAAAGTCTTGGTCCTGCTACAGAGAAGGCCCTGTCACCTCTGCGCTTAAGACGAGTTCCTGGAACTGTGAGGAGCAACTGGTCCGCTGACCTCAGGGAACGTGGTGGGACATACGGTTATAGCAGATCACAAAGGGGGGCCGAAACTGTTCAGTGATTTGTAGACATACATGAGTATTTTGAACTGGATTCGAAAGTGAACCGGTAACCAGTGCAGGGAGGCCAAAACTGGTGTGATGTGCTCTCTTTTGCCTGTACTGGTTAAAAATCGGGCTGCTGCATTCTGGACCAGTTGTAGTCGTGCAATGGAGGTCTGACTGATACCAAACAGGAGCGAATTGCAGTAATCAAGCCTAGATGTAATGAATGCATGTATTACTGTCTCCAGGTTCTTTTTGGACAATATGGGCTTCTGTTCAGACAGCCGCCTCAGTTGGAAGAAGCATGATTTAACAATCATGTTTACATGATTTAACAATCATGTAAACATGATTGTTAAGTTTCAGGGAAGGGTCCATTATCACTCCCAGATTAGTGACTCTTTGTTTTTCTGACAGGGTTAGAGCGGAAAGGTCGATGCAGTGGTTTGTGATCGTGTCGTTGGGAGGGAACAACATGACTTCAGACTTCTTTTCATTGAAACTTAATAAGTTTTGAGCCATCCAGTCCTTGATGTCAGCCAGGCAGTCGAGCAGAGGTTGAATAGAGCATGTACCATTGTGTCTTAGGGGGACGTAAATTTGACAGTCATCGGCATAGAAGTGAAAGGGCATGTTGTGTTTATGGAAAATAGCACTAAGTGGCAGCAGGTATAAAGAGAATATGAGGGGACCCAGGATGGACCCCTGCGGAACCCCCCATTTAAGCTCTGCCTCTGCAGAACTAAAATTCTTGATGGAGACACAAAAGGATCTGTCAGTGAGGTAAGATCTGAACCAACTGAGGGCTGATCCTGTGACGCCCACCCACTGCTCCAACCTAGCAATGAGGATCTCATGGTCGATGGTGTCAAAGGCGGCTGTGAGGTCCAACAGGACAAGCAGCACAGAATCACCGGTATCAGTGGTTAAGAAAATGTCTTTAAAGACCTTCAGCAGGGCAGTTTCAGTGCTATGGAGAGGTTTAAAGCCAGATTGGAATAGCTCTAAGATGGCGTGACCCTCCAGGAAGCACTTCAACTGGGACTCAACTATTTTCTCCAGTACTTTAGAAACAAATTTGAGTTTGGAGAGCACGTATGTATGTATGTATGTGTACAGCACTTTGGTTCTGTGGGGGTTTAAAGTGTTTTATAAAAAAGCTGGTATGGTATATTGTATATCAAAATATTTTCAATCTTTAAAAATTATTCACAGTGTAGAAAACTGTATGGGAGACACGAGGTTTAGTGGGACTTTTTAAAGAGGGTACGACTCTTCAGTCTGTTCTAGGCACAGTTGTATGCAACATTAAATCCTACATCAGGCTCAATTTACTAAAGCCACAAAGACAGCGTCCCTAAATTTTTTAGTTACTTTATTTTACCAGGAAGAAATCCATTGAGATCATCAGTCTCTTTTACAAGGATGTCCTGGACTGTAACTGGACTGGACTAATGTGTGAATGATGCTGACAGTAAGCAAATGACTCACATTTTGGAGTTGTCACTCCATGAACAGGATCTGGTCTGAAGATTTCATTACATTGTCTATGGTAACAATATCTCACACAACTTATTTTAAGGTTTGACTAAAATGTATAAACATTATTGCCAACAGGACCAGAACCAGGAAGCTGAAACCACAAAGAACAAGCACCCCCTAGTGGTTGACTGCAGTACAATTTTTAAGTCCTGTCCATGTAAGGACATTTTTCCTGACCAAAATTTTAAAATGCGTTTCAGTAGCGGTGGACACAGTTAAGCTAATCTGCTAACAGCTAATAACAGAACTGTTCTGTTTAGCAGATTAGTGTTACGCTAACTTTGGAAACCATTAGCAGAATTAGCTTCTGCTAAAATAGTTTTCACCAACTTTATGTCTGCTAACAAAATTCACTAACTTGTTCCTGTCTGTTGTGGGCGTGTCTCAGAGTCCATTAGGCTTGCTAATGGCTGACTACGTGTACACGTGACGTGATTGCTCGGTGCAGATTCAACTGGAGAGTCCAGTGTTGCCAGGTGTACGATAATTATTGTATTTGTGCGACAATTTTGCCCTCTGTATGATCCATAATCCCAAATAGGCCAAATATACGATAATTTTGACCATTCCGTGAATGTGTGGTTGTAATCTGTTGTCATCAGCCTCTCGCAAACAGATGCATGATCGTGCTTTTCTAAATGTTACCTACGAGTGACGTGTATGCGTTTGCTTCAGAACAACGGCCATGATTGGTTGAATAGTCCGCTGCGCCCCATGAGTGAGGAAAAGAAAAGAAGAAGCAGAGCCGGGCTGGAAGTGGACTCATCACCACTGCAGTGCATCAATAGATTTGTTACTCTGGTTATGACGGGTGTACGATAATTTCCCTCAAAATACGATAATTTATGTCTCTAGTACGATAATCCTACATTTCTCACCTGGCAACACTGAAGGAGACAAATACAACAGACTGAGTGACAGTCGTCTGAATGGTTGGCCGTTTAGTGCTAACTAAAGGAATTTTTTTAACGGTGTAAAAGATGATGAATGGATAGATTGATGGATGGGTGATAGGTTAACTTTTGCTTAGCTGTGCTCTCCACGGCTTTTCAGATCATTAAACGTTGATTTTTGTTGATTCTTGAGGCTCTTACCTTGCTGCTCTTTTGCCTATTTTACATTTCTTTAAATCAAAATATATTTTCAATTATAAAGTGAAATTACATTTCTACAGAGGCATGTTAAGCTCATGTAATGACTGGTAGTGTAATAGTGTAGTGTGGTGACTGTCCCAAACATTATTTAAGGCTCCTTGATTGATTTTAATGGCCCCCTCATCTTTCTCTGGGCAAACCTGAATGTATCTCGTGTACAAATTAACTCCGACACCACAGGCAGGATAGGTTGTTTGTTTGTTTGTTTGTTGCTCTATACTATGACGAAAATAAAACAAAAAATAAAAACTAATTTGCATTTAGAGCTTTGCGTTTGACGAAGCAAAAACTGCAAAGTCAGACGAACTGAACGTAACAACAGACACTGCTGGCAGAATGAAGCGTTAGCCCCAAAATCATATGAACGAGTATTTTGTTTTATTATTACCTGAACGGCTCGTGTAAAGAACAGTCCAGCACCGGTGGCCAGTTTCTTTACGTTGAAATCCATTTCGTTTGTTTGTAAAAGTACTACAATCTACTGGTGTTACGCTCGTGACAGCCTCCAACTGCAGCAGCTAAAATTAATGGCCAATGGGTCACGTGATCGCTTGGCCGTCGCTTCAAGTTACGTCAATGCACGAATCTACTCCCCCCCCCCCC